TCTGTCGTTTTTATTGTTTCTGCCACTGGAGAGAAAAAAGATTTCATGTTAGTGTGTTGAAAAACTTTACATTACCTCCAATTTGCTATGGGTGGTCTTCAGACTTGTCGATATACCGTGACATGAGTACCGAGGTTGGCTTTGACCTTCATTGTCAAACTGCACGACTACACCTTAAAAGTTTTTCCAGCTTGGAGATTTCAGCCTATTCTGCTCCAACCATGTGAGTAAACGTAATTAAATACACCATTATGGTATGTAACACTCTAAGGTCAAAGGTCAGTGTCAAACAAATTAGGAAATGTCTTTACAATGACACAGGAAGAGGAATATACTACACTAGACACTACACCAAGCTGGAGAGGTTATATCTCTTGGCTGGCCTGGGAACATCTCGGACTTTCCCTGGGGAAGCTGGAGGAGGTCCGGGCTCTGCTCAGGGTGCTGTCCCCGCGACCCTGGATAAGCGGCATGGACAGATTTTCATATAACATCAGCATAAAACGTCCAAGTTTTAGAATTGCCCTTTGGGGGTAGTCGAGTTCAACATAACGACCCAAAAATTTTCAACTCTGCAAAAGTGGTATAAACAGGCATCCATATAATTGCACTTTCATGCTGCGTTAGTGATAGTATTTAACCTGTCTTAAGTATCCCTGCTGTTATAGACAATTATGAATGCAGCAGGAGACCCATCGAGAGGCAGAAAGGAGCAGTTTGTTGCAATGCAGTCGTCATCAATAACACACACGCAGCACACTTTTTGTTTTTAGGCCCTTTTAAGTTTCCGCCCTTGAGGTGTATGCAGTGCCTCGAACACCTTGGTTGACACAGTTATATGTGTTTAAAGCCGGAGAGGATCCAACATGTGGCACAGGAAGCATAGGATACAAACAAAGGAAGCTTTAGTAGCTGAATAATAATCCAAGAAACACAAAAGTCCCAGTGGGATCAAAAGTCCACAAACATGGAAAACCAATAAAATCCACAAAGAAACTTAAATCTCAATGGAAATAAACAGTTTTTGCTAATTAAGATTAAGGAACTGACCTCCAGCCCATTGTTCCTTCAGTGGGCTGGTTTCAGTCATTATGCAGATGTCCTGTTTATGAGGTTGAAACCTGCAGTCAGCTGAGACTGAAGACGTCACCTGATGATGACGAAACGTTTCTCCCACTGAAAACATCCAGATGAAGAGAATCAACCTTTGGAGAAATAAACAGGTTAGCACCCGTGGGACACACCAGCCTGTACGCAGGAAAACTACAGGTGAAAACAATCAGGTGAATCAGGGGAGACGGACAGGAAGCAGAACTGAACAAATGAACCCTTCAAAGTAAAACAGGACAATCCCACAGACATGGGTATGAACACTAGCACTTAACAGGGGGACGCAGGGGGGCCAGAGCATAAACAAATACACGGGAAACCATTATTAATACAGTCAGCTATAATAAACCAAGACAAACTAAAAACCAGTGCATCGTATAAACAAACAGCCTCAAACCGAGACCCAACGAGTGCAGGAAAGCACAACGGGAACTCTCCAAATCCAACAAACACAAAAACCAGAACCTTAAACAGCAGAATAATAAGACTGAGACGAGTATCCAGAATCTGAGAGCAAAAACCAGGACCATCTGTAGAGCAAAACATCTCCACATCCCACATGTGGTGCCCACCATAACACCCACACACACTTTCTCCCTCTGCCAGCCTTTACAGTCAGCTAATCCTTGTGGACTGGTGTTGTTTAAACAACGAGCCTCACTTTCTTTCATCGTGCGTCCATTCGCAGGCGCCTTTCAAATCTCCTTACAAATCTGTGATGCGAGACATCGTACCTTCGCTTAATAGCATCCACTTTATTGCACGGTCAAGTTTTACGGAGCCGGGTTCAGCGTGAGCGGACACCTGGAACAGCAAACTGCTTTATAGACTCGTTATTGTTGATACTACGCGGTCAGAGCACGTGTACACAGTAAACATAACCCCCACCGCCAGGTGTTGGAGGCACTGCTACAGAGGGAGAAGAGAGGAAGGTGAACAAGACACACATCTGCTCTCACGTCTGGGTTTTGACCGTCAGGTTGTCTCGCTTTATGCTTTGTTTTCTTTTATCGCACGTCTCGCCGTCTCAAATGTCTTTTTCTTTGTACTCTCTTTCATTCACACACACAGGAAGTCTGCAGTGAACTTTGGTGCATGAGTAAGAGCAACCGTTGTATCACAACCAGCATTCCTGCTGCAGAGGGAACCATCTGTCAGACCAACACCATAGAGAAAGGGGTAATAATGCTCTTTTGTTTTAATTAGGGCGTAAAGCAGTAAAGCAAAACAAAGTCCAAATATGGCTGCAAGTCAGAGCCGAGTGTTCACGAGAATAAAGAAGCAGCGCGTCATCAAATACCTGCACGATTACAAATTTAAAAAAGGGAAAAATATCATCTCAGTAAACATGCGTTGGTAGGTTTGTGAGTCACGTGTGTTTCTTTTGTTTTCTCTTTGAGATTAGAGCGTATATGCCGACGCCTGATGTTGCAGTACATATCCTGTCCAGAATTAATTTAAAAATGTTATTGTTGCCTTACAAAGCCCTGGATGCACAGGCTCCGGGTATGTCTCTGACCTCTTGCAGCCTTATATCCCCTTAGATCTCTTAGATCAAGTGATCTTTTGCTTTTACCAAGGCCGAGGCTCATAGAGGCGATCGAGCGTTTGCAGTCGTAGCGCCTAAGCTGGCTTTTAATACAGCATGAGAGTAATTTGTTAATTCATATTTGGTGTTTGCTATCAATACTCTAAGTTATTTTAGTAGGTATGTTGTATTCTTGTGCAGCACTTTGGTCCACGCTTCTGTTGTGCTTAAATGTGCTATATAAATAAATCAAATATAACTATAACTATATATGATAACTGCTATACTTACACGTATCTGCAACTGTGCAGTGGTGCTACAAGAGGGTGTGCGTAGCGTACGGGACTCGCCCACAGGGTGTGGATGGAGGCTGGGGTCTGTGGTCTCCCTGGGAGGAGTGCAGCAGGACATGTGGAGGCGGCGTCTCCTCTTCTGTCAGACACTGCGACAGCCCCAGGTACGGATTTAGCTCACCTGATCTTAGCCAACGCGTCCTCCATGTTTTTATTGTTGAACTTTACTAAAGCAGCTCAGTGTGATTCAGAAGGTGAACCATATTTATCTTACTTACTTACTCCGGGTGGCGTCTCGGTTCATCCTGAGTAATAAGCCTTGTAGCTTCTCATTGGCTGCCCCTCATAAAAGGAAAGCTTGCATAGCAGGTGGGTGGAGCTTCTGTGGTTGCAGTTAAATGACCATATGAGATGGTAAGTATTCATATATTATAAGATCTGTTGTTTCAGTCCAGAGGATCTCCAGATTATAGCCCAACATCCAAAACACACAGATCAGGATGCACACAGCCAGCCCACCCATGTGTGCAAGTGGAAGCCTGGTAATCGATGCTTGAATTGCAATAGGATCTTTTCATTATGTTTTTAGTTTTCCAAACTGGTATTTATTCACTACTGGTTAGATTAAATCCAAAGCCATAGGGCAGAAGTAAATGAGCCATTAAATGCTGCTTCTTCAAACTCAAACACGCTGAAAACATCAGTCCTATCATTTAATCCAAGATGTTCTTGCAGGCAGCAGCGGAGTGGGGATGATCACAAAATGACCTTTTGAATCGCAGATGCCAGATGCCTGGTCTCGAACTGGTTAAGCTGAAAATGGATTGACCCAAATCTGAGCCCGACACTCTCCTGTGTCGTTTTAAGCGTCATTTCGCATCTTTGTTTTGGCTTCGTTCTCTTTGAATTTGTTTACGGTTTAACACCAACAGCCATGAGAAAATGGCAGACGGCAGCTCTGTTTGTGAAAAAACAATAATGCAGTGACAGTGAATTTAAACACGAAGAAAGCTGAAAGTCAGTGCTGTGTGTGATGGACGTCGGATCTCTTTGTGTCACTGCAGGCCAACTATTGGTGGGAAATATTGCCTAGGAGAGAGAAAACGCTTCAGGTCCTGCAATATAGATGTGAGTATTACGGCTCTTCATCAGCATCATCATCATTATTGCTCTCATCAACTAGTCAAACCACTATAATCAAGAAGAGGACTACGGTTGGAATGAATGTGTTTTATCTGCTTGCACGTATAAAACTGCGTGCACACGTGTATGTTACAGGACTGCCCCGCAGGCTCTCGGGACTTCCGAGAGATTCAGTGTTCCAACTTCGATAGCATCCCCTTTCGGGGGAAATTTTACACCTGGAGGCCTTACAGAGGAGGTGAGTGAGTAGTGCTCGTCTCTCTTGGGTTTGTGTGCGTGCACGAGTTTAATGTGAGCTAGCAGACGTTTCCCAGACCATCAGGTGTGACCAGACCAGGTCAGTCAGTGGTGGTTTGCAGGTAAAATAATGAACATATCCACTAATCAGGAGGTTAGCAGATATCTCTGGGCAAGACACTAACCCCAAGTTTTTCTCTGATGGATCCATCAGAGTATGAATGTGTGTGAATGTTAGACAGAAAGCACCTATGCAGAAAAAGTGCTTGAATGAATGAGGGTGAATACGGCTGGCTGTATAAAGCAGTTAGAGTGCTCAGGTAGCGGTAGTACAGAAGAACCAGTCTATTTACTGAGTCTCTCGAACTTGCTCGTATCAGGGGTCAAGGGTGTCGAACTCCAGACCTCGAGGGCCGGTGTCCTCCAGGGATTAGATGTGTCCTTGATCCATCACAGCTGATTTAAACGGATAAATGACCTCCTCAGCATGTCTTGAAGTTCTCCAGAGGCCTGGTAATGAACTCATCATTTGATTCAGGCGTGCTGACCCAGGGTGAGATCTAAACCCTGCAGGACACCGGCCCTCGAGGCCTGGAGTTCGACACCCCTGATCTATTAGTTCTTCTGAATCTCTGGCTCTCTTCCAACCAGTCCCTCCCTAACCTGGTTCTGCCAGAGGTTTCTTCCTTTTAACACAGAGTTCTTCCTTCCCACTGTCGCCGAGTGCTTGCTCAAAGGGGGGGCAGCATCTGACTTCTGGGGTTTTCTCTGTGTTATTGTGTCTACTTCACAAAGCACGTCGAGGCCAGAGCCATTGTGATTTGGTGCTATAGAAATAAAATAAGAATGAATTCAACATAGATTAAAGTAAAATCCAAGGTTAAGGTCGCATCATAATTCAGTTACTTCTTTACTCCACTACTTACCTAAAAGATCAGTCCATCCACATCTTTACACAATGCTCTCCTGTGTTGAACAGCAAGAACACAGTGATTACTGGATAAGCTGAATCATATGGGTTACATGCTATATCTGCTGAGTGATTATAAGCTCGTTAAAATCCTGTTTACCTTTAAAAATGTGGCTTAAAGGAAAGTTTTCCATGAGATGTCAGTCCTGCTCTCCTTGTTTCACTGCTTAAACAGTTGGACTGCGGTTTGTGTCTTGAGCGCGTAGAATTGTGATATTAGGATCGAATAAAAGGGCAGTACAGGTGAGATGAAGGTGAGAAGGACGTGAGCCAAGAGAGGAAAAGAGGAGACGAGGGTAAAGACTGTCGCGTGCATACGTGGAGAGAGAGCAAAACGTGAATCGAAGCTCCTGCTGCTGCAGACTCGCCCCTGTCTGGCCTGCAGATGCTGGCTGCAGAGAGCCATGCATCCCACAATGCCTTGCAGGAATTCCTCGCTCCTGATGAGCACTAGACGCTGAACCTGGACGTGAAAGATAAATAGTTTCAGCGACATAACTGCCTTTAATCTGGCCCTCCAGTAACATAATGGGTTACAGAGACGGTCAGCCATCCGATTCCAACTCCAGGCAACAAGTGCTCCTTTCATCAAGTCAGCTGATTTTACAATGGAAATCCCTTGCAGCTGTTAAAATAGGAGCGTTGCCATCGTCTCTGCCCTGCGCTGAGGCCAGATCACTCCTCTGTCCTCAAATGCTCATTTTAGCCTTTTCCTTATAACGTCACGCTTGGTGGAGACTGCTTCACTTTCCCTTATTCTTTCTCTGTCATTGCCCCCCTCCATAGACGACTCCCCTCCTTTTGCTTTATCCAGCTCGCCATAATGCAAGCCGTCTCCGAGTTCTGTTTCCGACACGGAGAACAGAGGCAGCCTTTCTCTCTCGGCGCAGACAGCCAAGGACAGTTCGTTAAAAAGCCTCTCTCCATATAAGCGTTTTGTCGAGCTGCTCTCCGTTACTGTTCTCGGTCCAACAGCCTTCACATTCCACTTTCACACTCCATACACCAAAACCCTGCAGGTTATAACACACACACACACCCTGCTGCTGCAGTGATTGCTGTGATTGCCCTGCCAAAGCGAGGCACCATGGGAATTGTAGTTTTCCGCGGTCGGACCGCTTTATTGTCTGCGAGCTCTGCCAGCACAAACTCTCCAACTCTCTTTCGCTCTCTCTCTGCGGCCCGGCGCTGTACCTGCTTTAGCGCTGCCAGCACAAACAAACGCACGCCAAGCTGATGTCGCCAGTCACTCAAATAGTGGAGCAGCTGGCAAAGTGCACAGATTAATGAATGATGCAGTATATGCCACCTGGCAGGAGAAGACCTTTAGCAATGCTGTGTGTGCGTGTGCATGCACAACATACTTAGATTTAAGTACGTTGGTATGTTTGCATAATAAATATTACACATGCACGTACACGTTTGTGTTTGTCGCTCTGTTTTGCCCCCAAAATTCATTTTACAGCATCAATACTTTAAGAAATGTCCCACATAAAGCGTTACTTCAGCTGATTGGCTTTTCCATGTAATTGCTGTGGATGCTAATGTCGATTCCCAACAGAAGTCTCGCTCAGATTCGTGTCCGTATGTGCCACAAAAGCAGAGATGTAATTAGATTCAGCTGCTTGTACTTTGGTTGTACTTGTACCGTTCCACTCTTTTCTCTCTCAGTCTGCCTGTTCTGTCTGCAGCCCTGTCAGGATACGATGCTTTTACCCTCATTTCCATATTATCCCACATTCACACTGGTTAGAGTTGTGTCAGAGTGGCTAAATCAGAGGCGCATTTGTACTATCAGTAGGTAAGATGGGAGAAAAAGCCCACAGGAGGCCTATTTAGCACCTGTTATTCTGCAGTCAGAGTCACCAGTTTGGGGGATTTATTTGAAAATGTCCTCCAATATCATCTCAGTGATAAACTGATCTGTTTGGATATCCAGGTGGGGTGAAGCCCTGCTCTCTCAACTGCCTCGCAGAAGGATACAACTTCTACACCGAGCGCTCTCCCGCTGTGGTGGATGGCACGCCGTGCCGAGACGACTCTCTGGACGTGTGTGTAAACGGAGAGTGTAAGGTGAGTTGCACGTGTTTGCCTTCAGCCAAAATATCGGCCATTAGAAGTGAGGAGACGGCTTAAAAGGACTCAACATAAAATTGTTTTCATCTAAGATAATGTTGTTTATAGTCACTTTCAAGGGTCTGGACGGCCGCCATTAAGTAGTATACACACTAAAAGCTGCAAGTCATCACAGTCAGCTGCTCAGCAGCCTTCCTCTTGCTAATGCTCTCGTAATCTAAACCACTTAAAAACATTATTAGGATTATTATCCTTTTTGAATTTTGATTTCTGTGGCATTTTGTGCATTCTGTGCACTGAGCGCTCCTCGGCCCCTTTAAATCCCTCGTTAGGGGTTCAGACGTGTCACCACGTAACATTTTTACACGAAGCTCTTCTATCGGCTTCTTTGGCATGCAACCCCCCCGAAGTTCTTACAGTAATCCTCCTAACGCTCGGTCACACAAGCATCGAGACGAGTCGGCAACTGCCTGGCAACCACTGGTTGTTGAGGAGAAATGTAAGCATACAGCGGTCCCTCGTTTATCGCGGGTGTTGCGTTCTTAAAATAACGATAGGCATGAACATTTTCAAACTTTATCTCGTGTTTAAACTCTCAAAGTTCAGACCTTTGTAGAAAAATAAGTCCAGGATTATAGAATGAAGCCAAAGATCAAACCCTGTTTCCAGGTCCAGAACATGGTACAGAAGTAGAGGAAGCAAGAAGAATGAGTTGAGTAAAGTTTGACGTATCTGACTGTTTTGTTTTGCTTAATGCGCCTTATAATCTGGAAAACACGGTAACTTCTACCTTCCTTAAGCATCTTCCTCCGCCTCCTGGGTGCTACCGCAGCTGCGTTTGACGGTGCAAAACGTTTCGTCGACATTGTTGTTTGTTGGGGAGAAAACCTACAAACGTACAGTGCAGCACTTCAGAGTCACGCTGCTAGCGATCGAAGATTTATGTAAATTTGACAAGCTGAATGCATTCTGACACGGCACGGAGGAGATTGATTGACAACGGTCTACAGCCAATCAGGACGCAGAACACAATGCGCTGTTAAAAAAACAACAAAAAGCATGCAAAATTGCACCAAAAAAATCAGCGAGGCCGTGAAAGGTGAACCGCGTGACAGCGAGGGACCGCTGTGTGTCGCTTATTGGTTTTTGCTTTGATGGTTGCACGTCCGTCGCCTTTAGTTTGCATAGACGGCACCGACTTGTCTGCAAACGATTCAGTAAGTAGTTGTAGGTGAGTGCGAAGCAAGCCGTAAACGGTGTGGGTTTACGGCTGGAACATGTTTGCTTCGTGGTAAACAGACAAACAGTCTTTGTTCCTGGTTTGTGCTTCACCAAGCTTCACACTATGGGCAACTACGGCAACCTGAGAGCAACTAAAGCGATCGCACCAATCAAACTGCTCAGCAATGAATAGTAACCATGTGGTTTAACATTAATGTTTGTCAACCTAATGCAGCCTCTAAATAACATGCTTAACCTGTCAGTGAGCATAAAGCTCATTAATGAAAACAAAGTAACAAACTGCTGTGGATTTTGGCCCGTCTGTAGAAGAATGTAGTCAAAAGAAACCCTGGTGGTAACGTAGTGCAGCTTACATGGATCCCACTGAGTCCCAGTGGGTTTATTTTGGATGCACTTCCACAGTGGCGAGGGCAGAGAGAAGGAAAATCTACTCAGGATATCCAGCTTGTTGTTTAATAGTTGTAGCTCAGTTTTGTGCCAAAAGATTTTATTTTTCAGCTTCCCCTCCGCTGCCACTTACCCCCCAGTAAGCTCCTTTAATAAAAGTGCTTCAGACTGGTTTCACTGGAGCCGAGGAAGTTCCATCCAAAGAGACGACTTTGTTTATCAACACCCCCCCTCCTTCCCTCCTTCCCTCCTTCCCTCTGTAGTCTGCTCTGTTCTGCTCTGTAGGAACTCGGTGACCCTCCAGCTCAGCTGTGAGTCTGTCTGCGCTGCGGGCTGGCTTTCATTCACTCCGCTCTTATTATCTCTCGCTTTTTCTTTTTTCCCTCTACACCTCTCGACTCCTTTCTCTCCCTGTCCCAACTTTCCACCCCATCCTTTCCTTTGTTCGTGCAGTTTCTTTGTCTGCAGTCCACCTCTTATATGTTTATTGCACACATAAAACTTTAGCTAAACTGCACAGACATCTCTTTCTCATCACATCTGTGACTTCAAGCTGCTTTTGGATGCAAAGTTGCCGTCTAACAATCAGAGAGAGGAGAAACAGAAAGAACGATGGACGTGTGGGAGGTGGGAAAGGGCAGGGGAACAGATGTTGAGGACAACGTGTTGTTGCAAACATCTGCCGGGGTCTATTTCTTTGTCCCCTTTGGTGCAAATATAGAGTGTAGAAAACATTAGTAACACCGCTCAGGTAAATGCAGGTGCGACCTGTGCGCTCACAGGCTGATCTGCCCGGTTAAGAACCGAAGAGGATTCTGTGGATCGGATGATTTTTGAAGATTTCATTTTGGCACAGTTGCGACTCGACATTCCTAAGATAAAATCTACATGAAGTTTCAATTATTTTAGATTGTCTTGCAGTGGGTTTGGTCATTCTCATGACTGAGTTTCTTTCACAACATGTCAAACTAAAATCTAGGGCCATATTTAAGTTAGCGTGACGCTTTGATTGCAAAAATGCGTCGATAGGAGTGGAAACTTCTGCGGGTGATCTGCTAACAATGCGCTAACCTGTAAACAAAGATGCAGCAGGTTTATTTCAGTAAAATCAACACAATCTACCGAGAACAGTGCAAATTAGCTGCTCAAAAACAAACAGCCCCAGTGAGAGTAATCAACAAACCCAAATCATTCGGTGGAGGCACGGGTTTGAGGCATGTGCTTTCTCCCAGGAAGCAGCAGGGCGGCTCAGCCCAACGAGGGGCAGCTGAGGGAGAATCGGTATGTCTTTATACAAGAACTCTTCTGTTGGGGAATGTCTGTGGGGTCTCGAAGATTGAAAAAGGAATTGTCTGGATAAATCGAACAGCCTAGTTGGAGTGCAGCGTTCATCCAGGAGAGTTACTACAAACTACTTCACCTTGTAAACATGCAGTCTGTGTGTAGCAACGTAGGAAGAACAAAGCAAAATATGATGCGTCCACTTAATGAAGTTGCTGTGGTACATGCAGCATTTTGATGGGTGTTTCAGTGTGTATCAGATACGTAACTGAGAAGTTAAAGAAGAAAAAATAAAGCAGAAAGTGTATTGGAAGCAAATAAACCAAAGAGTTTACAGTGTACACCAGTGACTGCAAATTAATTTCAATACAGTAATGATGTGAAACCTCAAACCCGTAAATCTGATTTATTAGTATTATTATTATATAATTATTGATCTCTGGCTCTCTTCCACAGCGTGTCTTTGTCCTGTCTTCCTTCTGTCGCAGCAGATGGCCCCGCCCCTCCCTGAGCCTGGCTCTGTCTGAGGTTTCTTCCTGTTAAAAGGGAGTTTTTCCTTCCCACTGTCGCCAAAGTGCTGCTCATAGGGGTTTCTCTCTAATCCTGTGTGGTCTTTACCTACAGGTAAAGTGCCTTGAGGTGATTATATAAGTAAAACTTACTGTGACAGAATATACATAACTAATGGCTTTTATGATCCACTGGCAGCATGTGGTTTTGGGTGGGACGCCTCTTGAAAGGATCACCGCCAAATTTTGGTGCACTCAAAGGTTTAGTGGGTTCTAGGCAGATAAACTTGAATTGATTGGCACCGAGCACATTTTCCCCCACGGATTATTTGAATAAATTAACTTTTGATTTGATATATTTCAGTTACATTTTACAAATTATTGCTTTGTGTGTACATCCATTAAAAAAAATACGATTGTAATAAGGGAAGAATGATCGACCTTTTCATCTAGGGGCACAATCAGGGGTAGAGTCACATGTGCTTGCTCATAGGGGGTCATATGATCATTGAGTTTTCTCTGTATGTACAATATAAAGCACCTTGAGGCAGCTGTTGTTGTGATTTGATGCTGTGTAAATAAAATTGAATTGAATTCAAAGAAAAACATCAAATTCAAACCTTTGAGGAACTCGTTCCTGGTTTGTTGTGACATGGGTGCCAATAACTAATTCACTGAGTCATTGTTTCAGCTCTAAAATAACGGTTTTTGGATCAATGTTTATATTTGTTGTATTTAGTTAGATTGATCGAATGGACACAGAGGTGGTATGTGTTTCATTTTCTGCTGTTTGAGGACGGGGAAACCCGATCTGGGCAACACGTGTTGGGATCTCTAAGATTATAAGCTTTTATATCTCACCCCCTCCTCACAAAGCCACCGGACGAATCAGCATTTTGACTCATTTAATTCTGATCCAATCGCTGTTAAAGTCATAATAAACCTAAGCCTAATTATCCTGCTGTACAATAAGCAGCTGCCACAGGAATATATGAGAATAAGAGCAGTTGCTATTCGTTTTCTGCACTTTTGTTTAGGTTTGCTTCGCTGTAAAACAGTTTGAGTAAAACCACCTGTAACGCTCATCATGAAATTTATTTATGTCGACAGCTATGAGTTTAGCAACCTAAGAGCTTTATGTCTGCACAGGATCAGAAAAACACATCTGGAGTTACCATCTGATATTTCTGTGTTTTGAAAAAGTGGCCTGGAAGACATTAGGAGGTAATCCCTCAGGCCGGCCTCTGACACCTCTCCACTTACTGACTGTGCCCCTTCACCCGTGACCCCGAGTGACCCTGCGGCTCACTAGTTTCTCCCTTCCCGCAGCACGTCGGTTGCGACCGTGTCCTCGGCTCAGACGTACGCGAGGACCGCTGCCGGATCTGCGGCGGCGACGGGAGCAGCTGCACGTCTGTGGAGGGAGTCTTCAACGACTCGCTGCCAGAA